CCTGACATTCTGTGATTCTGTGAAAGCCACTTAGAAGAAGATTTAGGCTCACTTCAAGTGGAATAGTTTTTGAAAATCAACCTGATTTGGAATAAAAGTAGCTAAAAAAGGGATTCTTATACAGTCTGAAGTGGCAGTTTGGGATTGACACTGTTGCAGTCTTCAGCTGCATGCTGTTCTTGATGTAGATCTAACAGAATGGTGTGCCCAGTACCAGACCTGCTGCTCTAACGAAATAGGTTGAATTTAAAACAGTCCAACTTGTCCTTACTATGAGCCAGGTACCAGCTGTGACTAATCAGCACAGGCTGTGTGACATTAGTCTCCTTTCCTGCCAAACAAACCCTGACCTCTGAACCAGCAGGGTATGGCTGAACTGTAAGGTGGGATGGGTACCGGCAGTGAAGCATTGCTTTGTGGGCTGCAGGGAGGTAATCTGTGAGTAAATCTGTCTCAATGTTGAGTCAGCCAGCAGAGCTTGATCTCTGCTCTGGAACAACTGTTTGTGTTTCTGCTGATGGGATTCAGGGAGAGCTGAGCAGTGAGGATTTGCTGCTGTCATTTTCCTGCACATCCCCGTAAGCATTCCTAGATTCAGAGTGACAGTTATTCTTATAGTCACTTTTGACTATAAGTATATCTTTATACTTCCTTTAGTTCTTCAGGAGTGCCTCTGAGGTGGTACGCTTTCATTCTGTAACACTTTTAATTTCTGTTCAGTCCAGGGAAGGCTTCCGAAAGGTAAATGTGCTGCTTCTTTGCAATATGTTGGTAGCTAACGTTTAGCACGATGGTGGTGCCTAGAACTGTGTCTGCTGAAGCAGTCATAGCCTTAAATGTCATGGTCCTCTTACATAAAGGTAAATATTTTCTTGTAGTGACTTCCAGCAAGAAGCACAGGAGAGTATTCTATTACTTTTTTATTTTATTTTTTTGAAAAAGGATGCTTTTTTCTAGTATTTTAGGAACTTTCCCTGAATTCTGCCCTCTTCTGTTGCCCCTCCCTGCCAACAGTTCTGACTCTCATTCTGGTTTTATTTGATATAGTTTCTGGAAGACTTAACCATATCATATGAGCTCTGTGTATTACAAGGCAGTCTAACTTGGGGCATCATTCCCCAGTGTTGCCTTAATCCGTGATCTAGTTTGCTGTGTTAGCTGGGGATTCTCTGCCCTGATTCAGAGTCAACAAATGCTATGGCTCTTGTGAGCCCCCAAACTGTTACGAGCTAGGGCAGTTTGACAGCTGTACAGCGCTGCTTAAGCGTGCTTACTTTTTATAGCATTGGTTAAAATGACAAGACAACATTTGTGCTAACAGTTCTTAATTTAGCTGCCTTCCCTCACTGCTTAACTAACTGCTTTACCAAAGTGGGGCTTCCAGTCCACTCTTGAAGCCACGTTTCTCCCTTGTAGTGGCTTGTATCTTTGATACGGCACACATCCTGATTTCTTTAGCACTTCCCTTTGCAGTGGAATATTTGCTGGCTGCGGTGAACTGGAGCATGGTCTTAAGGGAGTAATTGTATTCACATAATTGTTGTCTGTAGAGAATTTCTCGGCTTTTAAAAGGATCTATATGGACTCTACTGATATTTGTCTGTGAAATAGTACTGGTTTGGGCAGCAGAACGTTGCTAGGAAAATAACTGTAAACATTCCCACTTCTTACAGCAGTTCATTTGCAGTGCTAATGTTTAGCAGCTTCATCTGCGTACTCTGGCTGTGATAGCTGTTGTGTGCAGCTGGGTCATGTAATAAGTTGGGAATTTGATCTGCTTGGAAAGAAAAAACCTTCAAAAATTTTCTCTTAACCAGACTTTTTCCTTGATCTCATTCATTCTGTGACCACACGCACACTGCTGTTTTGGCACAAACACGGGAGTAGGGCAGGACCATAAAAGTGAGATGGGTATGAGAACTATTAAACTGACTAATGTATCTCTCTGTTGCTGAAGGCAAGAAAGGAACCTGAAGGTCATGAAAAAGAAACAAAGCAGAAGGGCCTTGTCTGTGTAGCTAAGTTAGTCCCACAAAGAGGTGTGAGCTGCTCCAGAATTGTCTTGTGTTATCCAGTGGTGCGCTCTGAACTTGATGAAGTCCAGTAGTACTCTGAATGACAGAAAATAATGGGAAGGAGGGTGTGGGGTGTTTCAGATCTTCTGAAAAATGTGGTCTGAAATTGTTTTAGCAGATGCTATGAGGAAGAATAACCTAGAGAGTAAAAACATTTCTTTCTTCTCATCAGGATCAGACCTTAGAAACTTAAGACATTACATTGACTGTTTTGACATTAGGGTAGTTGCTACAGCTTTACCTGTAGAGTTGTTGCTAGAAGGAGAACACCTGAACATGGCAAATGGCAATCACTGCACTTGTGCCCAAACTGGAATTACATATTAGAATCTTAATCATTTAGGTTGGAAGGAACCTTTAAGTAACATCTAGTCCAGCTCTCTTTTTGTGGCAGGGACATCTTTCGCTAGGTCAGGTTCCTCAAAGCCCCATCCAGCCTAACCTTAAACACTTCCAACAATGGGTCATCCACAACTTCTCTGGACAAACTGCTCTGGTGTCTCCTCACCTTCATGGTGAAAATAAATAAATGTCTTCCTTATATCCAGTCTAGATCTACTCTCTTTCAGTTCAAAACTGTTGCCCCTTGTCCTGTCACTACTGGCCATGTTAAAAAGTCTCTCTTGGCCTTTCTTATAAGCCCTCTTTAAGTATTGAAAGGCCACAATAAAGTCTTCCTTCTCTAGACTTCTTCCCTTTCCTTCCTTCCCCTTTCCTTCCTTCCTTCCTTCCTTCCTCCCTCCTTCCTTCCTTCCTTCCTTCCTCCCCCTTTCCTTCCTTCCTTCCTTCCTTCCTCCCTCCTTCCTTCCTTCCTTCCTTCCTCCCCCTTTCCTTCCTTCCTTCCTTCCTTCCCCGCTCCTTCCTTCCTTCCTTCCTTCCCCTTTCCTTCCTTCCTTCCTTCCCCTTTCCTTCCTTCCCCAGACTGAACAACCTTAACTTTTTCAGGCTTTCTCCATACCAGCAGTGTTCCAGCCCTCAGAGCATTTTCATGGCCTCCTCTGGACCCATTCTAACAGATCCATTTTCTCTTGTGCTGGGCACCCCAGAGCTGAACACAGGTCTTGCAAGGGCAGAGTAGAGGTGGAGAATCACCTCCCCCAACCTCAGAACTGTGTATAGACATGGTGCAGTTGTCTGCTGTGTCACTGGCTATAAATCTTCACCCTTGCAGAGTAGCACCTGTGTACTGACATATAAGTGGTTTTGTGCTGGGTGTTATCATTGCAAGCTCTACTGATTATAGCAAATTTGCATTGTACAGAGTGGTGGAGCTAGTGGAGTAAGTGATTATCCCCTGGATATACTCAGGAAGGCCCAGCAACTAGTATACGTGTTGGATTTCTTGTACCATGGGCAGCTCGTGGGTATTGGCTTTTAGAAGACCTCTGCTCTACTAGGAGAGGTGCTGTTTTTCAAGTAACGGTTTCTGACTGCTGCTCATTAGGAAAACCTGTGAAAAAAGGTCAAGTCATAGGTATAGCATTAGGTGCCTGTCAAAATGGATCTCTCTTGTGTTCCTCCTTCAGTTACTAGTGTATGTTAGGACCCATAGACTTTCAAGATACGTTATTTGTAATAGTGTGGACGGAGGAGAATGGGTTGTCAGTTTCCTCATTTAATATCCTGGAGAAGATAAAAGTTGTGGCTGACATGCTCTTCAGACAGTAGTTAGATCTGTGAGTATTTCCCACTCTAAGAGGAGAGTGTTTGCAGCTTTGTCAGTTTGCCTCTTGCCTATCTCTCTATCTCTCCCTGGAGTTGATCCTTTTCTGCAAAGGTAGTTGACTGGTTATGGCAGTAACTGCAGCAGCCCTTCCCACTTTCTTTCCCTGATGTTTTCTTCCCCTCTGCTAAGGTGTTGAGCATTACTATAAACCAAGAGTGCTGAGATCAAGAAGCCTTGATTTTTTTGTCCTGAACTTAGTACTTGTTCTCCCTTCTGAAGTGGTGGTCTCCTGTTAAAGGGATCAGTAATACATAAAACCTGGGAAAACCTGGACCTGCCTACCTTTGTCCAGAGAAGCTGGGTAAGTGAAAGAGGCCATTCAGAGAGTGTGTGAGACTAGTTTCCAGGAATGTATTGTAGTTCCCGTTTTCTCAAGCTGAGATTCTTACAGGGTGAGTTTGATCCTAATAAAGCAACATCAGTGCACAAAGCAGATAGATTGGAGTTTGCTTGTTTAGCATTATCTGACTAGTTTCTCCTGTGCGACAGAATTTGCCTAGGATCTTTCATCTAAACCGTTCATTAAGCCACTGAAGTCCTTTTCAACGGTACTTTTTAACTAGTTCAGTGAGTACTTGTTCCAGAGCTTGTAAATTGATATGACTGAAAAGTTGGAGACAATTCTGTTGAAATCTCAACACCGCTTGTTTTGTAAAAGTACAGTCTGAAGGCAGAATTCATCGCTGAGTGCCAGAAGCTCACTCCAGATCCTCTAGAAGAGGATTTTCTTTCACCTAACTATAGTGTGCTCCAGAGAAAAGCTGTAACATGCCCTGGGTAGTGACAAAGCTTCTACCTGCATGTTCATGAAATACATTAATTCATGCTGTATCATCTAATGTTTTAGAATGCGTCTGGATGCATGAGTCTTCCATTATGTGTAGTGCTCTGTGCCAAAGACGAGAGCTTAAAATTAAAAAAAAAAAGGTATTGTTTGGCAAAATTAGAGTCGAACTTTCTGGAAGCTCTAATAACTTTTGGAATGTAAAGATCAGAAGCCCTGGGCAAAAGGTGTCACTTGTTCATACTTTCTCCAGATCCTTAATGTTGGACATTCAGTTGTTCTTTTCTGTTTGCAGTTTTACTATGTATTAATTTGTGCCATTTAGCCATTTGTATGGATAGTTCACCTTCGTTCTTCTTAAAATGGATGTTCATGAAGATTAACGATGTGTGTCTCCTTACCAGTAAGAACAAGCATATGTTATCTGTTCTATATTTGGGATATTGGAATCCATGGATCAACACAACCTGAATGGGTTCTTTGTCAGAAACATGAGAGATGTAACTGGCATTTGCTTTCTTCATTGTCTTTCATGCTCTACAGTAGGATTGTTTTATGAAGTTGTAATGTTTTGCTTTCTGATAGGAGGTTTCCAGTCACTCTCAACTTTGGGAACTGCCTTGGCTGGCATGTTTCTCAAAGCTGGCATCACACCTCTAGCCAGCAGTTGACAAATCTCTTCTGCCTTTATATGGCGTGAAATAGACTTTCTTGTGAATCTTCTAGATCATCTTACGTCAGAAGGGAAAGAAAACATGCGTTTTTCACCCTTTATTTAAAGAACACAGTGTTTAATGGTGCTTTTCCTGTGAAGGAGAAAATTCTTTGCAGAACAAATGGGAATTGTATTATTCCAGGAACGTACATAGTGGGTTTGAGTAGTGCAGAGCCCTGACTCATTTAGTACATTCTGGCCAAGGTACACTTTTGTTAAAAACAACTGATGTTGCTGTACAAGATAACCTGACTGCTTCTCTTTCATTTTCTAGCCACTTAAGATTGTTCTTATATACAAGGAAGTAGTGTTTGAAAACAAACCACCCATGTAGAGCACTTGAAACAAAGTCGTAGTGTAAGTGAAGATTAACTCTTAAGACTTCATAATTTTATTAACTTTAATAAAGCTATGAGTTTTGTTCATATTACTGTAGAACACTAAAGGACTCTTTCAGCACTCCTGGCTACGTCCAACATTATACTTGGTAAAATTTTTGTTGTTAATCTCAGATGGGATGCTCAAAGTGCACCCACATTGACAACAAGGATCCTGATGCTGTAATGGAAGCCTTGGAGAAAGTGATTTCACCTGGTACATCTTAGGACTGCAGGTCCCTTCAAAGTGTTTGTAGTACACTTCTAGTATAAGTCAAAACATGTGCTTGGTAGTGCAAGTTTGTATTGAGTTGTAGATACGAGGAAACCTAGTAGATGTTAAATGTTTTGTGTTAATACAAGTAGGACTTAACTGTCCATAGTGTGCAGACCTGTTACTGTCTTCATTCAGGTGATGTCTGCTTTGGCCTGCTTGCAACCTTGCCGAGTGCAAGTTGGTGACCCTACAGTTCAGAGGTGTAGGGATATAAATCCTGAGGCTTTAAGCTGTGTAAAGCAGGGGAAAGCAATAGGCGTGCTTTAGTGGCTTAAGCTTTGTGTTAACCAAGTCAAAGGGTTTCTTCTTCGTTTTAGACATAGAGTATACTGACACCTGGAGCATACACAGTTGTTTCCAAGGTATGATTTTTATATTGCAATGAATTTACATTTCTGGACAGTTCAGTCTTAAAAGCACTGCCTTGTGAAGATATTTCTGAATTTAAGTTCATACCTTAAATCTATAGTATTCAAGCTAATTGTTAAAAGTATTTAACCTTCCAAAATCAGAGTAAAAGGTTTTGTTTCTGTAGAAGAAAGTTTATGACTAAAAAAATTCCAGGAAAGAGCTGCTTCTAGTCCGAGTTAAATACTTAAGTTTCCTTGGAAAGGAAGATACTTGAATTTAAAGAATTAGGGAAAAGCAGCAAATTTGTTTAAAAAGCATTATATTTTTCATTTAAGAAAGTATCCTAAAAGCTAAAATAGTACAATATACATTAAAAAAAAGTTCAGTAGCAGCTCTTAGAGATTGATGTCCAAAGTGTTGTACTACTCAAAGATTCCATATGCTTCTACAGGGAAAGAAAAAAACAATCAACAGTACACTTTCATTTACATACAGTTAAAATTACTACTTGTATTTCAATTTTGTTAGCTGTTGCCTTTTAGAAGTTGATAGACTTTAAAACATTAGATCAATTATATGTCTCTTTGCCAGTTTCATTTCGCATGTAGTTACACATTCAGCTTCATTTTAAGGTAAATGGATTACTAAATGAAGATCCTTTTGCTTGTTGCTATTTGCTGCTGCTACTTGGATTCTAGTATTGTTATGTAGAGAAGTAGCAGTATTCCCAAATCATACTTCTCTCTGCCCTTTTCTATGGTTTTAAACTGTATGTGTATTTGCAATGTAAGAAAACAAGAACAGCATTCCCCGTTTTAGCAGTGTAGTTTTGAATCATTTCCAGAGTATATTAAAATTAGATTTGAATTTGAAAATAGGAACTGTGTTGCTTTGGAAAATAAATGTGTAGTTGTGGTACGGAAAGAAACATTTTGATATAAATAGCCTGGGTATCAAGATTGGAAGAGAAATCCTGCTCTGTTGACATTTTTATAAGACTAAGCATAGTGTACTGTGTTGTAACCTCCTTATTTTGTCATTTGTGTATGTGTGTATTACCATAGAGATGTGAATTCTGCAGGATGCGTGATTGCCTTGTAAAGCAGATAGAGGGTGATGTATTGCAGTACAGCTGTTACCTGAAAGGCTCTGTAGCTATCTCGACATGTGATAGAGCAGCTAAACAGGAGCAAGGACGTTTTCCTTCACTTCTGTGGTAGGCAGAAAGCCATTGGCTGTGCTGCTGGCTTCCATGGTAACTTGTCACTTTCTTAGGGCCTCTTGACATGCTTTAAAAAGTGCATAAATATTTTTGTGTTTGTACTTTCCCTTCTACCTATGAAAAGCAAGCTCTGGATCGTGACCACTTCATTCCTTAAGCAGTTCATACTTCTGCTGAAGAAAAGTTCTGAAAATATCTGCAAGCACCATTAAAAATATCATGTATAAAAGACATGAACTCAGCGTAGTCACCAAGTGCTGAATTTCTTCCAAAAACTCTAGAACTTGTGTTGAAGGGTTAAAGCAATATTCAGGCATGTATTCTCTTTGAACTGGGATTGAATTCTGCCTTGGGAGAAATTTTACATAATTAAGTGCTCTGCATAAGCAGCAGTAATTAAAAAGGATGTGTTGATACTAGGATTGTTTCTTGCCCAAAGCTGAACTTTTAGGGCAGTTCTAGTACTACACTCCGTTCCTATGGACACAGTCTGAGCGATGTGCCTGCCTGTCTGTATGCTTTTCACCCTTCAATAACTTGCGATTGTGCACTTTGTCACAGTGTATTTGGCAAAGCACACGTCTGAGAGATAGTAAGGGTAATACAAGCTTTGTAAAAACAAGTAGCCATATAGAAAACGAGTTGTATAAGTGTTCTGATGTTGGGGAATACTAGCTTGCAGTATGAGGCAGAAGGAACTTTGCATGGGAGTGAGATGATACAAATGGTGCAAAAATGAGAAAAGCTTCAGGTCAAATACCTTTTTAAATATTGCTTTTAGGAAACACGTTTATCAGAAGCCTTAAACTTCGTAGCTATAATGTTTGCAGAGCTGCTTCTGATAGGAGTGCTAAAAGAAATTGCTGTGTGTAACTGCCCATAGTGGGCTATGAAAGGGTCTTGAATGGCTTTCAGTTTTGAAACCTTTTTACATTGCTTTTAAGATTCTACCTTGTCCTCTAACTGAAGAAACAGATTTCTATGACCTTGCTACAAACTGAACTCCTTAAGTTGTAATGCAGAGCTTTGCTATTTTGAGATTCTAGGAAGTCAGACTTAAAATATTATTGAAAGCCATCCGGCTAATTGGGTAACCCACTGCAATATCCAGGTAATTGCTGCTTTTCTTCTCTGATAAGCAATTTGAGGTGTGGAGTGACTCTTTTCTGATATGCTGCAACATAGTGAATATAGAGCATGACGCTCTGCGGTTGTTACGAGTGGCCAGTCTTGGAGAAAATTGGAAGCAAAACCTCCCAGAGATTTTTTTCAAGTGTTAGTTACTCATGTGACTAAATGATGCTAAACAAAGATTTTTAAAACTCAGAAAATGCAGTTTTGTGGATGGACTTTGAGAAGCTGGTAAAAATTAAATAGATGCTCTTTCTTCGCATGAATCAGGAATAGCCTCAGCACGTGTCACACATGCCAGAATTGTGTGGAGAGATTAGTCTTTTATATTAAAATAGTAGTGCCAAAAGCCCCATTGTGCCTGGCTATATACAAATAACGTAATATCATGAGGTAAACTTGCAGCCATATCAAAGCTTCTTGAAATCCTAGTTTGTTCATGCTGTGTGCCTTAGGGTAGACTTTTACAGCAAGACTCTTGGCACAGAAAGGGTAAAACCGGTGCTTTAAAAGCATCTTCCTACTCTGGAATGCTTTTACATCTATCTCAGTCTTGTTTTTAAGCACCTTCTGAAAGTTGGATTATTTTGGTCCTACTTGAGCATCTAGTGGTACTACTGAGTATTAAATCTTTTTCAACTCATGTGACCTGAAGTCTTTGATGTTCAGTTACTCAGCTGTTGATGCATGATAGCCTTGTGAAAATAGATGATCCTCTTCCAGGCCAGTGCTTCTAAGCCTTGGCTACACCTCGTGATCATCAGGCTGCAACTGCATGAATTATTGAGCACTGACGTATTCTTAATCACAAATAGTGTTAATATCTCAAGGGGATGTTTAGCTTTTTTTAAGGGCTTTGAAGAAGTGGTGCAACAAGTTCTTGTTGCCTTGCCCTGGAGTGTTTGACTTAAACTCAGGATTGCTTCCTGATGCAAAAATTTAATATATGGGAGACTATGGCTTCCTCTGCCGTGGCTTTAAATAGGTATTCTAATGTAAGAGGTTTCTGGCTCTGTGGAAGGCTTTCTCCCCATTCCCCCCTCTTTAGCTGTGTGTGTGGCTGCGTTCATATCAAATGACTTCACAGATATGGTACAGAATAAATGAGCCGCAAAGGTCAAAAACGTAAGAATGCCCACAGGCAAGATCATTCCCCAGGTCTCGTTTTGTGTGGCTACGCAAACAGTGCTGTGAATAAAATGCCAACCTGTGTGTGCTTACATGTAATGCTTAGAGACCTGATATATGGTACAGCGTTATAGTTTGGCCCTGGCAGGAAAATGAAATCTGCAGTATTCACCTTAGTATGTCCTCGTAAAAATATCTCACCAAGCTGGAGTTGCTGGGCCACAGCTGTCGCTGAATTTGCTTTGGGACTGCATCTTCCTCATCTCAAAGCCAGAAATTCTGTGGACTCTCTGGATTGTTTTTAAGGGTTTTCAATGCAGGATGGTCACTAGGTCACCAGGTCCTCTACAACAAAATGTATTATTACCGAAATCACCTTGTTCCTAATCTATGAAGACCTGTCTGTTGAATGCTCAAAAGTGTTATAATCTAAATGTGACAGTTTATTAAATGTACTTCTTGTTGTGTAGCTAAAGAAAATAGCTTAAAAAGAAGTCTAATTGGAATAGGGACTGTTGCAGTAGCATTATTTTGGCTTCTGGTTGTTTGGGTTTTTTTGACTGCCTTTTGACTAGAATTACTTGAAGTGATGATTTATATTCTGTTTTGAATTACACTGAGTACAAAACCACAATAATCAAATTGTGTGGTTATTCTAAATTGGCACTGGTCTAAGGTAGAGGAGAGTTGGCCTTGTACGGCTATTGTTTGTTCTTAGTTGTTGAATTTGTTGGTGTTGTATAAGTTTTTTCCATACAAAAACCAAGGAAATAATATTGATAAGAAAACACAATACGGATGCTGGGACTGTTTCACAAGATAAGATTTAGATTTCCGTATATACTTGAATGGGAGTTAATCCTCATTTTGGGTGCTCAGCAACTACAGCACAGTGTCTCTGAACGGAAAGAACCAATGAAATGTAGCAGTGACCTGCTGAGAAACACCCTGTGTGATGGAAAGGGAGAGGCATCAGCATGAGTGTCAATCTCTTACAGTGTTAGTGTGAAGAGATGAGTAGGTGCATTGTCTGAACCAGATTAACTTGTTCTGTAGATTTTAAAGCCAGTCTTAAATAATCTTGGATTTAGAGCTTCAGATTATTGCTTGGTGGCTCTCATAATTAAAAGCAAACCAGTTAAGCGGGGACAAAGGGCATATAAGTGAGTCAGGTTAAATTCACACTTAGTAATATCTTTCCTCCCTTCATCATATGCTGGGTTGAAGAGGTTGTGATCTTTGAGTTCTAGTAATCAGTGTATTTAAACCTGGAGTTGTGTGCTAGTAGCCTGCTGGCAGTTCCTCTAATTTCTTACAATATGCTTTTGCACCTTTATTTTTGATTCTTCTTGCCCTTTATACCAGTTGGATAATTCAGCCCTTCATGCCTATATAACTTCATTTTGATGTAGTATCTTGGGTTTTCTTACATGTTTGCAAGCCTTTTGAGTCTGTCTCCTACGTATCAAATTCATCACAAATAAAACATTTCAGTTCTGTTGCTACACAGTAGATAGAACCTTCTCTTTGTCATGTCTCTTTTGGAGTGCAAACTAGAGGCTTCAGCTGGCCATTACTTAAATATTTCCTACACTACAAGAGCCTGTTCCTACCCTCCCCCACACATACTTGTTATCAAATGCAAGGAGATGCGCCATTTTGATGCATCCTATAATATACTGGCAGCCATAATTGTCACTAATGGCACCTCTATGTCTGAACTCTTTGGAGTGCTGTGTTTTGTCTCTTGGTGATCTTGGTCCTTCCAACCTGTACAGGGTGGAGGCAGTGATGCTCCTTGGGGTATCCAGGCATGCTTAGGGGTCAGTGCCTCTGACTGGGGCCTCTCTCTGCATTTATAACCTCCATCTCCTGATCTCTTTCTTGTTAAGTGCTGGCATGTTTTTGGGGAGGCATGCCTCCTTTTTAATCTCTCCTGAGCCAAGGTGGTAAAGAATCTTTGAAGTAGTGTGTCTTGGCAAATAATTTCTTTCCTTGACTTAGTGGAACTTTCTCAGTCCAGCCAATGTTCTTTGTCTCTTGGGTTCTCGAGCTGCACAATTTCTCTTTTGATGAACCCTTCCTAGGCAGGAGCTCAGTTGTGCCTGAAGCTCTCTCCACTTCCAGCAGATCTGGAAAGCTAAATGCCAATTTGTGTGTTATGGTTAGAGGCTGTCTGTTCAGCTTGCCATTGCTGTGATGGAGAGGCCATGCTCTCCCTCTGGGCTTTCTGCCCCTACCTTGTGCTCATCTACACTGACCGTGTTCCCTAGTCCTAACTCAGTCAAAAGTCATGTTTTCCTTCGCAGGGTTAAAATTCAATTAGGAAAGGGTGTCAGAGCAGGTCCAGGGAGGAGGGTAAGACTTTGAAGAAGAGAAAAGAACAGATGAGTTCTCGCCGATTTCCTCCCAGGGCAGTAAAACGTTGGTTTGACTCATCTGTAATACGTAAATTCATCCTAATGCAGCAAGGAAAACTCTTGGCTCTCTCCTGTGCTAGCTTGCTGCTTAGGCACACTGGTACTAGTTCTGGCACGAAGGAGAGACAGAACATGCACCCAGTTATGAGGAGGGTGGGATTGTGAGAGCTCTGATTTACGCTGTGTTAAGATGCCCTGTTACTTTGTGCCACCAGGGGAGGGGGAGGAAAAGCAAACACAAAAATATTTGTGGGGAAGGTGTTCCAGGCAACACTTCTGCTTCTGCCCTGTAGATTCTTCTGCCCTGTAGATTGCTGTGGGTTACTGGAGTTACCACAGGTGCTTGAATTTTAGCTGGCTACGGTGGTGTTTTGATTTGTTTCTGTTTTTTGGTGGTTTGTTTGTTTGTTTGTTTTCTTTTTTGGGGGGGAGAGGGTTGTGTTGTGGTTCAAAAGGTTGAGAAGGAAACAACAAACATTTTCAGGATTATCAAGAGTCAAGTGTTCCAGGTAGAGAGCAATAAATAAGTAAATCTAGAAGTGAATGGTCTCCATCAGTGTGGATGAAATCTGGAGAAGCCTCTGTTGGTAATTCAGCGGCAAACCAATGTCTTCTGAGCGCTTCTGTGCTTTTGGGAAATGCCCAGCACGCTCCCCTTCTTCCAGCAGCACCAGCCCCATGCGCAGGATGTGACTGTGCTGCCCAGTGCAGGCAGTTCATGCCTGTGCAGAAGCTGTCGGGAAGTGGCAAAAGTACAATCTGTCAGCACCTGGAGAGTGTTTTATTTCCTTTTTTGGCTTCACTGTGTTTGTTTAATCAGAACTATGCCCTAGAACTTGGCTCACTCATTTGGAGTTTTTTTTAAATGCCATTTAAAAAAAGTAGGCAAACAAGTTCTGTTTGTGCTCAAATGACCTTAACTGACTTGCAAATCTGGACCAAATTTAAATTAGTATGTTGATTTATTTCCAAAGTTGTATCCGCAGTTCCTTAGTTTATTTTATGGTGTGGTTTTATTTTTTTATTAGATCAGGCCTCAGAGGTGCAGGTGACAATGATGCTGACTGAAAGCTGTAAACTCAGAGGACTTCATCACAGGTAAGCTAAGTAGTGTTTGTAAGTAAAACTGTATCTGTATGCACTGAAAATACATGTGCTTAAAGCTCTCTAGGGGGAGAGGAAACATTTTTTTTCAGAATTCAGCAACATTTTTTAATGTTTGAATTTCAAGCCGTAAAAAGCTGAAACTATTTTTGTGTCACTTCAGGTTAAGAATTCTAGATACGCTTCTTATCGCAAAGGGTGCTTAAGCTTTTTTTCCGTCTGTAAAACCAAACAGTAGCAGCATATAGGAAAACGGGGAGTCTTTGGTTTGATGTTCCAAGCCACGCAGTGAAATATGGGTAGATATTCCTTTTATATATTCTTAGTTATTACAGAAAGAGATACTGCAGACACGTGTATGTTGTTTAAGTGCCATCCTCCCATATGGACACAAGGAAATGCTTTTCAGGACTCTCGCACATGTGTTGTCCTGGTGTGGAATTGTAACATCACTGATGGGATTTATTCCTCTGAGAATTAGTGCCATATTTTTCTGGGATGATGGCTTAAGTTTTTTTAAAGTGATGCCCCAAACATCTTGAGTTAGTGGCAATTTTGCAGCTTCGATTACAGGCTGACATTTGCCTTAAAAGATCTTCATTACTGGCATGTATGCAGGTAAGAAGTGGCTCATCATCAAGTAATTCATGATGGTAATTGTACTTTCTACTGGTAATGTGAAGGAAATTAAAATAGTTCAAGTAGAATTCTGTAGTTCATTTCTATTTTCAATATAAATGTATTTTCAACAGTTCATTTAGAAGTTGTTTTTCAGAGAGTTATTATAGTGAGGGCCTGGGCTAAAATACGGGATTGTATTAAGACAAGTAGCAAGTTCTTGGGGAAACATACTTAAAACTGAAGCAAAATGAAACACCCCCATCTCCTCATTCAAAATGAGCTGTTACACTCCGTTTTACAAGTCAAATCTTTTAGAAGTCCAAAAAGCTGCTTTTTCTGTAGACTACCCATAAAGGTAAGACCTTTATCTTAATTGAAGGCAGAGCTACCTAGGCATGTAGACACCTGACTATCAGGCAGAGTTGCCTTCTAAAAATCATTGTAGCTCCCTAAAGACTTACTAATATGTGGTCAGTAGAAGATACAATTTTTTTTTTTAAGAAATGTTTGGTGGGAAATTGTATCTGTATACAGTTTGTTTCAAGTTGCTTCAGGTTTATATGTTGATACTATAGAATTATGTTTAGAAACAATGCAACATGGGGTTATCTGAGCCATAAGGAAGGTTGGAATGGACCTTTAAAGTTGTTTAGAGGTGGACTTGATGCTGTTAGGTTTACTATTGGACTCGATCTTAAAGGTCTTTTTTGACCTAAATGAGTCTGTGATTCTAAAACACCTGTGATAAAACTCCTGAGATTCTTCTGCATTTAGAGTGAAATTTAATGTTTTGTTAATTCAAAACTAAAATTTTTTGTTCTGTCATATTGAAGTGGATCAAACATGATGGTTTGACTTTTTTTTTTTAAAAGCACTGTAATTGAGCTGTATGTTTCATGTTTGTAGTTGCATTTAGAATCATACACTTTCAAATTGAGGAATAACCTGTATACACAGGAATTCAGCCTTTTTGGACCAATTGAAAAAAATTGGAGTATTCTTCCTAATGCGAAAGTACTCGGACATCTATCTCATTTGAAAAAAAAACCCCATGTCTAGGGCTTCAGTTATTTGGAGACCTTGTGCTCTGCGATTCTTAATACAAGATTAAATGCTTTTCAGTGTTGAATAATTTTTACTTACTGTGTTTGGGGATCAAGAAGATTTTAATCAAATTCCAGTTTCATAAAATTAGAAACGTCTCTCTGTCTTCCAGGAACCTGCTACCTATCACTCATGTCTGTATAGAAGAGGGGGAGAAACCAATGGTGCTGCTGCCGTACATGAACTGGGGGAACCTTAAACTATTCTTGCGACAGTGCAAGCTGGTAGAGGCCAACAATCCTCAGGTACACTCAGAAACCTCTAACTTCTTACCCGTTAAGCTCAGACTTGGTTTGTCATCTCTGTGTGTGCCTTAAAAGGAATAGTTGTGGTATTCACCTGATCTGCTGTGACAATGACAGAACTGGCAAGCAGGTTCCCCAGCAAGTGTTTGTGTTGGTTCAAGGAAACCAAGGAAAGCAGCCTTGGTTGCGTTCAGAGGGCTTGAAGCTGAGTTAAAGTCTGATTAGGGTAGTAGCTGGTATATCAGTGCATCTATAAAAATACTGAAAAATAGAGAAAATGGTATATCATTGTGTATGTAAGTTGGAATACATAAGGGAAAATGGTGTATGGAGAAATTTCAGATGTACTGATTTACTTTTTGGTATGAGTTATAGATTATCTCTTGAATTACTGTTGTTCTTAATTATTTTACAGTAAGCCTAAAGCACTTCTGTTAAACTTTTAAGGTGCTGCTATAGGTTTGCTATTAAGTAAAATAACTGAATTTATTTAAAGTTAGATATTAAAGCAATCTGGGTTTTGTTTTTTTACTGCTGTGAGTGCTCTTTAGCATTCATAACTTTAGTGTGTTTCAGTGGAGTCTGTTGCATTGTACTTTATGAGAAGTGAGAAAATATTCCTAGATAAGAACATATTTTGCTTATTTTTAAAAATCTGAGTGTTTAGTGATGAATGTGTATATGTAGTACAATCATGCCTCTTATTAGGATTACCTTGTCTTGCATTTTCTTCAACTTCACCTTAGTTTAGCCTTTAAACTAACCAAGCACAAAATGAAATCTTGTTTCCTGAGGTCAGCATTTGTCTGAGTTATGTACCTGATTTCAAATTAGCAAGAGCTGCCTACTGTCTTAATTTACAAGCTATGATAAGTGACTACGAACTTTCAACTTTGATTTTTACTTATTTTGCTACTTAATCTGAGTTTAAAATCCCTATGCAATACGCCAATATCCCTTTCCAGGAATTTAAGTAGAAATGGTATTTATAGTCCGTAGTATGTCAGACAGGATTTGCCTCTCAGTTACTAGGTATGACTGCGCCCAACTGTCAAAAGATGGGACATTTGGTGTCCTAGATACTTTTAAGATGGAACTGTTCTACACATAACTAAAGCAAACTTGAGTTTTCTGAAGTAATATGTTGCTATTGTGCTTAATAACACCCTGTTAAGGTCAGGTTGAATGAGGCTTTGAACAACCTAGTGGGTCTAGTGGGATGTGCTATGGCAGGAGGATTGGACCTAGATGATCTTTAAAGTCCCTTCCAACCCAAACCATGCTATGATTCTATGATTATTTTACTTAAGTTTTATTTTAGCCTCAGTCTTGCAACTTCAGTGTGTCCAATTGCATACTGAGAAATGGAAGAGGGAATCCAAGGTGTAAATATGTGCCAGGGTTTAATTTATATAGGACTGTGAAGTTGTAAAGGTAGATGGAGAACAGCCTTTGATGCTTTTTTTCAGCAGTAGGTAGCGACAGGAATTTTGACTGCTGTTAGTGCTCTGTTGCCTGAAAATGAGTTGGTTTCCAGGGAAACAGAAAGCTGAGGTGTGATAAGAAGAGAGAAAATGACCATTTTTGCCCGTGTTTGCCACTAATCAAAGGAGAAGCTCTATAGCAGTGAGGCAATTGCAAACTGGAAACATTTGGCCCTGGCATGTCAAAACCAAAAAAAGTAATTAAAATTTTGATTAAAGAGTCTTCATAAATTTTCAACAGGTGATAGTGTCTGTAGTTACTACTAAAGGGGAAGGAGCACTAGAATACAACAGAACAGACACAGGCTGGCAGTTTTACAATGATTCTTGTTCTGTGCTTTTGCAGGCGATTTCCCAGCAGGATCTTGTACATATGGCTATTCAGATTGCATGTGGGATGAGTTATTTGGCCAGACGGGAGGTCATTCACAAAGACCTGGCTGCTAGAAACTGTGTGTAAGTACATTGCAGACAATGGTACATCAGTAGCTAGAGCTAGGATGGACTTTCTCCAGTTGACTGATCTGTCCTTTAAAATATGCTGCTGATTGGGTTTTTCATCGAATTTTGGGCGAATAGTTTTGGCAGTGAAGCTGTTTTCTTCTAAACTTGAAGTGAAGCAGAAAGCATGTTTTTTTAAGGAGAAAAAATGTGGTCATCTTATATAATTGCTTTTGCTAGGTTTTGTGTATCACTTTTTTAAAGGACTGAAAAATACTGAAGTTTTCCTTAAGCTTTAATAAAAACTTGGAATATCTTTAGCAGTTTATAAATAGATAGATTTTTGTATAAAGTTGTTTTTCTTCCTTTTTTTTTTTTCCTTAAAAATGGCTTAATGGTTTAGTTCATTGGTAGATTTCTTAGATGTCAAATGATTGATAGATATGAATGCACTTTTTAATGATAGGTGTGCCAAGGTAGGGCTTGAGACCACCTTCTGGCTGGAATACACCCTCAAAATGTAGAGATGGAGGTGTTTGGCTTTCTGTAAACCGTATCGCTTGGAAACTGCCAGCTGTGCTCATTCTTCACCTGTTTTAATACCTAATAAATGGAAACAGAAAATATAGGGCTCTACCTGAACTTAACTGAACATCTGAAAATATCAAAGGGGGCAGTTTAGTCTCTGAGTTTAGTTTTAGGATATCTGTAAATAACATCATAATTCAAGTAACACAGTTACTTTTCTGAATTCAAGACCGTGTTTGAAGCCTTAAATTCAATTTCTGGATTTAGAGACACACTTCTCCTTTTGCCTGCCCCCTCCTTGCCCCAAGGACATGCACCAGTCTGTTAATGAGCTACCAATGAAAGAAAAAGAGAAAGAAGCAACCTCTGTTTTATATCCCAGAGCTGTGTACAAATCGTTAGTCAGTGAAGTACCTTCTAATGTGGTAACTGAATTACTGATGAATATAACGTTTTTTAAGTTGATATTGACTGTTAGAGGTGATTTTGAGATTTGATGAGCTCTACTTTAAACAATTTCATGTGTGAAACAGTACATAATCGTTGGATCCCTTGGGATGAATGCACATGTTGCATTCCTTCAGTTACAATGCTTCATTTATTTTTGGAAGAAAATAAAGTGCCTCATGGTGTAGTCATCTCCTTGATTCCTCTTGTGTTTGATTGATAAACTAGTTAGTTTTTCAGAAATGCCACCCACATCCTGATGACCTTGAGGTGTGCATCATGTGTAATGTGAGAGACTTTTTGCCTTAGCCAACAACACCTGCAGGGTTTTCTAAGGCCCAATCTTCTGCCAGGGCAAATGGTGCAAAGACTGGAGCACACTCCTGAATCTTCAGGTTTCTCACTTGTGCAGGAAGGAGGAGTGACTGGGTTACTGTCTTGTTTCCTGTTCTTTGACTTCCATCTCTTTCAACTTTTTGCCACATTTCTGAATGTGTTCTTTCCTTATTTGCCAATATGTTTACGAATACGCCCTTGGAAATACCTCCTGGATCCTCACGGTCTCAGTCCTTCCAATATCTTCTTGTACCCCTTTTTGGTTGAGGGTTTGCTTTGATTGTTCCCACATCATCCTTGAAGTGGTAGCCCAGTTTTTGTCTTGGGGACAGCCTGTACTTCTAGTGTGTGGTCTGTCTTGGCGCCATGCTACTGGTGTCTGTTAGAGAGCTCTGCACATTTGGCTCAGCAATTAATAGCAAAACATGAGTCACATTCCTAACATCAGAATAGGTTCTGCTCCTGAAATTTGGACTGACTTGCCTGCTTAGTCCCTCAGGGTTGTCAGGGGTCACCGTTGCTACAGTTTTTGTCCACTGTGCTTCTGTCCACAAAACCACTCAGTCCTCTCAGGTGCCTTTGGCCCAGTTCTTCAAGCATACCAGCCGGGGCTGTGATGTTGCATCTGGGGGACAAAAAGAGGCACCCAGGTGACACTTAAGCACAGATGTAGCAAAATGCTGGGGCATGGTGAGCAGTGAGATCCACCGTGAAGCCATCCTTTGTGCTTTTGAACGGGTGCCACCAGGCTAGTCCAGCAGAATCTTTCCTGGCTCTTACATGGCATAAGGATGCTCAGTTTTATGGAGTTCCTGAGAGACTCTTCCTAATTTGTATTCCTTTTCCTCTCTGGTGAGCATGTTAAGGGAGAAGTGGTACCACAGGAGACAAAGATCATAAGCAGTGCTGCAGGGAAATTACCTTGTGACAACCTGTCACTTCTGTGCAGTGACTCAATAGCCGAATGCCCTTGCTGCAGCCCAGGCTGCTTGGCTCTTTGTCCTTCTGGGGCAAAGTCCAGTTTCACTTAGGTGCCGACGCACGTGATCTGGACTGCTGACAAAAATCAATTCATAGTGCACCTGGTGCTCTTTCTGCATGAGAAATGCAGGCAGGAACTGGGCATTTACTGATCGTGCTGCAGTACGAGGCATCTTGGGCTAACGTTAGGTTTTTAAAGAGGGTGTCAGTAGCCAGGATCCCTTGAAGGACTTCTGCTTATCTGCTTCTCCTTGCTTCCCCGGGTCTATTCCCATGCGGTGAAAGACTGGGAGGAGTTTATATGGACTGTATCAGACCTTTGTGCATGTGCCCTAATTTTGGGAAGGGAGCCAGGATTGCAACGGTCTTGGCAGGTTTATTAAAGGAGGAAATGCTTTTGGGTCTCCTGTGCCTGTGGCACGGTTGGGCCCAGTTAGAGTGGACATAGAGATTACGCACGTCGCATCGCTGGGAAATTACCCTTTGTATTGTGTTTGTTTACAGCCAGGTTTTCTAGGAATATGAACTCTTATAAGAATGATTAGATATGGAAATTTCCTTGTCTATGTATTTTGAGGGCAGCGAACTTACCTGAAAATGCATAGAACTGGAATAAATAAGGCAACACTTCAGATAGGCAGGGAACACACAAATTTGAGCATTTCTATTTAATTTTTCTCATCAAAATAAGGAAATAGTTGGCAAGGTGAGAAAACAGCAAAGTGTCATTTTGTTACAATCCCCCTAACCCAATGTTATTTCTATTTTTTTGTTTCATTTTTACACGTCCCAGAGGGGGGAAAAAGAAGTAAGCTGCATGAGCTTTTTGAAGTCATTTTTTGTTGACTAAAAGTAAGTTTCCCTTAGCCAGTATGCTACTTCTGACAACAGTCAGAATGAGTATCTCTTGTGGAGGGAAATAAATAATATCTTACCAGATTGCTGGATTAGAGACAGGCATTTTAGGCCGCAAATAGTATTGGTTATTTAACAAGATATTACTAGATTTTGCTTTGCTTAAATCTTTGGCTCGTTTTTGCTACAGAGGTACTATAGCCAAAATTTGTTTAATTGATCTGATAGGAGGTCTCCAAGGGAGGGAGAGTAATTTAAGGGAGTAGTTTGTTTTAACTGTATATTTTTGCACTTGTGTTTATTTAATCTTAAGACTTCTGATTTTTACAGTGCTTATCTGTTAATGCAGAGTAAATATGTTCTTTAATATTTGATAATCACAGAATATGTCTTGATCTAGAAGAATGCTAGGCCTTTGAAATGTTGATAGTGTGATTAGTGTTCCCCAATAAAATCCTGAGTCTGAAATTTAAGATTGAGCATGAATATTTTCTGTAAAACTGTATGCCAAATTTGTTAAATGCTTCTATTCTTTTAATTAGCATTGACGAGGCACTTCAGGTTAAGATTACAGACAATGCACTCTCTAGAGACCTATTTCCTATGGACTACCATTGCCTGGGAGATAATGAAAACAGACCAGTTCGATGGATGGCTCTTGAAAGTCTGGTAAACAATGAATTTTCCAGTGCTAGTGATGTGGTAAGTTGTTGTGGTTTTTTGTTTATTTTCCTTACGTTTTTAAAATGTGTTTTGTTGACTTTTTTCCCTTCTTTCATCTGTTTGAGAATCATACCACTGAATTAATTAACAGTGATTTTTCCAGAACAGCATCTGTACGCTTGCTTCCCCCACTTGCTGATCATGGCAGATAGGTTAAAGGTCAAGCAGACCCTTCTTACGCAGCAACATTGTCTGCTGCACCCTTGGTAGTGTTCGCAGAAAAGGAAATTAAATTCAGTAAGCATCTGTATTGGAACTTATCTGCTACTTGACTGAATGTAATCAAAAGTCCACAACAGGGCATTTCAGTTGCAGTTTCACAGATGTACAAAAGAGGGAAGAATTGCTTCCCTTGACCTGCTGCTGCGCTTGGGCTAACACGGCACAGGATGCACCTGGCCTCTTTCGCTTGAAGCATGCTGCTGATGCGCTCAACTGCTTCACCAGGATCCCCAGCGACTTTCTAGGCAGTGTGCCCCAGCCAGCCCAGGTGCACAGAGCTCTTCCCTCCCAGATGCAGGACATCACATTTGCTTTCTCAGAACTTTGAGGTTCCTGTCAGCCCGTTTTTCTTGCTTCTTGAGGTCCTTCTGCAGAGCCCTGTCCTCCAGCCTGTCAGCCACTCTGTGCCCGGATTGATATAATCCACAAACTTCCTGGTTGTTCATAATGAAGATAAACCAGTACTAATTCCTAAACAATGCTGCTAGTAACCAGCTGGTTGTAGCAGTTTTAATCCAGCAGTCCAGCCACTTCAGTGTCTGTGTCTCACTAGTTTGGTGATAAGGATGCTATAGAAGATGATATCAAAGGCCTTGCTGATGTCAAGGTGAACATCCGTTGCTCACCCTGTGTCCACTAATGCTGCCTTCTCACCAGGGAACTAGCCAAGTTACGCGGGCACAGTTAGCACTTGGTAAATCCACTCTGGCTGTTCACAGACACCTTATTGCTTCATGTACATGGAAGTGACTTCCAGGATCACGAGTTCCCTAACGGTAGCGGTAACTGCTGTTAGACTGCCTGGCCTGTAGCTCTCTGGGTCCCACCTCTTGAAGAGGAGGGTGCCTTTGTTCTAGTTGTCAGCTTCCTCCACCAGTTGTGGCGGCCTTTCAAAGAGCAGCATTGCAAAGGCCTCAGCTCCCTTGACACTCTCAGATGTGTCCTGTCTGGTGCAGTGGTCTGGTATGAATGTGGTTGGCTTCAGTGTTGCCTAAATGCTGAGCATTTCTGGTAGTTTTAACTCTGCTGAGCTTTGTTTTTTTCAAACTCCATCCTTGCATGCTTGGCGCATTCTTACTGTATTCCTCAAGTAGCCTTCTCATGCTTCCACCTTCTCTTTCCTTCCTCACTGCATCTGTGGGTTGCCTTCTACCATGCTTGCTTAGCTTCCTGCACGTTAGAACAGACTGTTCCTGTGCTTACAGGAGCTTGTGCTTGAAGATCAACCTGTGGCAGAGTGCTAATTAATGGTAAACCACGTGCCCTTGTGGTCTGTGTCTTCCTGCGTGTATTTTCTTTGATGATGATGCTTTCCTTTAACATGGCTGTATCCAGAGGTTGTAATCTGCATCTTAAAATGTGCTAGTTTTGAAAACTTTTGAAAAGTTCTTGTTGGCTTTTCTCTTTTTTTCCTCATTGCCATGGTTGCTACTAGTGCTCAGGCCATATTAAAAAAATACCCTGGATGCTTTTCACAAATATGGTGTAATATTTTTCTGTCTGCTTGCTAGGAATCAGTCAAGTTACCAGTTGCAGATAACTTAAATTACAAACAATTTACGCAGGGTCTGTTAAGGTGCAATTGGCATGTGTTATACATTTGCTTTTTGGATACTTTTCTTCAAAATGGTTTTGCTGGCTCAAAACATTCTAATGTGTTCCTCCTCTGCCAACAGTTACATCAGTCAATCAAAGTGCAGAAAAACAAAACACAGTTCCTGTTGAATTTTAATTCTGTATTTTTCCCCCTCTGTTGGACATGAAGCTCTGCATCTCTTTATGCCATTTTTATGCAGCTACTCATGGAAATAGAAACAGCTATATTCTCACAGTAGTTTTGCTTGAATTGCCCTTTATTCTCATGCTCTAGATGCACCACCACTCATCCCTCGACATTTTTCTTAAATGCAAACAAAAAGGATGTCCTCTGCCTTCCCACACTGCTCATAGATGGCTCTTCAGAGTGAGACTGTGACTTTGTCCCTGTCCTGAACTTCCCATCAGTGTCCACTGACAGCATCCCTTAGTTAAGGCTTTGGTTGAGGCAGGGGCAGGGTTTCTTTTCGTTAATACCAAGAATGTTTCAAGACTTGTAGAATTCTGCTCCTTTTTAATATATCATGATTTTTGCAGCAGTGAATCATCATGGTGCACTACCAGCACCATTTCTGTTCCTCTTGGGTCTCTTGATAGCAGCTAATAAAATCATTTTACTTGGACTGTACTTGCATGTGCATTAATTGATTTTTTGTTTTTTAAATGGTTTTTTTTTTCATTACCTTAAACTCCTTTTGGCAAGTATTGTTAGCTGAATGTGTTGAATGCTGATCCAGCTGTCAGGTTTACTTAGATGAAATCTTTTTTCCGATGATTCCTACCTACTCTTGTGCACATACTCAAAATACACCGATGACGTTGACTTCATGATGTTTTCGTTCAGTCTGCTCTTTGGAACCGTTGAATTTCACAGACTTTGTTTTGAAGAGTTTTGTGTAGTATTTTGAAGAGGCGAAACATAATATAAAATCTACATTTTTCAAAACAAAGATTTGATGTTTAATATTCCTTAGATTTGTTAAATGTTTTGAAATGTCATGCTGAGAAATACAGTAAACACATTATTTTTTAGCACTTAAAATTTAGTGCACTACGATTTTAATTTTAGTTTATCTGACACCTGTTCTGTGATCCCTAGTTGTCCCTGTTCAAGACAAAGTGTTATTATGTTGAGCTTGGGCATATATAGCATTTATGTAAAGCTTTCTTTGTGCAGTCTTATTTATGACTGATTTTGTGAAACATCTGAAGGAGCTCTCAAAATCTGGCATGTTCTGTTAATGCTGTACACTGTTTCCTCTTAGTGGGCCTTTGGAGTAACGCTGTGGGAGCTGATGACTTTAGGACAGACTCCGTATGTTGATATCGACCCCTTTGAGATGGCTGCTTATTTAAAGGACGGCTATCGAATAGCTCAGCCAATCAACTGCCCTGATGAACTGTAAGTGCGTGTTTTTGGAGAGAGGATAAAATGTGTTTTGCAACCAGCATGTTAAGGTGGTCTTACAAATGAAAGAGCTGGGTTTGTCTTCCCCTGCCTGCTTTTTCTGCCTTTTAGACAAATCTTCGTATAAGTATCTGGGTGGCTTCAGTGACCTACGCCAAGGAACTCAGGCTAAAATTTCATGGGTTTTTTATTGTTGTTGAGTTTCACTGAATCCTGACCCAACTCTTTTCCTTACTCTGACACACAGGAGAAATGGGGTTGATCAGCACATTGAGAGGAGGGGGGCAAAGGGACCAGGGGTTTTCATGCTAGTGCTTGTAGGGCTGCAGTCTAGGAAGCCACTAGGTTTGTAGGTAGAAGGAACCTCTCTTCTTTCACCAAGACAATTGAGAAGTGCTAGAGTGGAGTTAAACAGCAGTACTTGAGGTATTTATTCATAATCCTGGTGGTATAGGAGAAGGCACGTGCACAGGCACTACCTTCTGCCTTAGATGTTCTTCTAAATCCCCTTCCCATAAACCTCCCACAGAAACACCTTGAACTATACTTTTACAATAGTTCAGCAATTTCCAGTGAAATATGTATTGATTCCTCCTGGATTGCCTCTGACTTGTATCCTAAATTGAACCAGCACTTCCAGGGACAGCACATTTATTGATCGTTGCAAGTGTCTCTCTTCTGAAGTTGTTGTTCAGCGTCTTGTATTGGAAGATAGAAGATTCCTTTTCTTTTTCTGGTCAGCAGGTTTCTGTTTTTCACTTCAGGCTGGGACTGTGGCCACTTGCCTTATGTTCTTATGTCTTCCATTTGTCTTTGTCTTGCAGCTTTGCTGTGATGGCCTGCTGTTGGGCCCTAGATCCTGAAGAAAGACCCAAGTTTCAGCAGCTGGTGCAATGTCTAACTGAATTTCATGCAGCATTGGGAGCTTATGTCTGAAACTGCAGAAGAAAATTCAATTCACTGATTGGGAGAAGGCATGGCGTACATCTGCCCCTCCATGCATCACTTGGACTCACACACCTGATGTGTATAAAGCAACACCAAAGGGAGAAAGCACTTCTTCCAAAACACTGTGCCTTAGAATGCCTTAGTAGTCTGAAGTTTTTTGTAAGACCTCTTGATGTTGAATATTTTCTAGATATCACTTTTGCTAAATTAAATTGAGAACTTTTTATTTGCCAACAGGATTTTTAAAGTGTAGCGATAGTGAACTTAAACACGAGATTTGGATGGACTTTGCACTCTTACAACAGGCATGATTTTTTTTGAAGGGTATATGGAACTGGTAGGAAAATGAAGATAGGGAAAATAAATGCAAAAGCCACACTGCAAAAAGTTTTCCCTGCTTTTTAAAAATATTGAAAATGAATCTTTCTGACCAGCTCTAGTGTTTGTACTTGTATGTATCTGGAATAGCTTTTTAGTATCAACTTCTATTTTGAGACAACAGCACATTGTGGTTGGATCCACAAGCGGCATCTTACTTTTTTTTTTTAACCCATTCACAAATTTTTTGTGGAAAAGCTGGTCTTCAGGATACAATATCTCCTTTTTAAAGCAGTAAGTGATTATGTAAAAGTGATTCCAGTTTACCTCATACAGAGAGTAGTAAAGATGTGGGGTAAAAGTGGTCCCCCACCTCTCAAATAAAAGGCTGATGTGATTTTTTTTAAGATGTTTTTATGTGCTAAATAGAGGCCTTCAGAGAAGTGCCAAAGCAGCCCTTGTATGGGAGTCTTTCACCTCAGACTTCTGGATTCTGTGATTGCAGTTTCTCTTATTCAGAAAGGTACTGGTTGTTTTTTATGGGCTTTTATGGCCTGAAATGGGCTTAAATATATAAATATATATTTGTAAAGACACTTGCAGAGTAAAGAATGTTTTTCTATTACATCTAATGTGACAGCTTGGTCCCTCATATTGCCCTGCATATTGAATGTGCGGGTTGGTGGTTGCCCTCGGCCTGGAGCTGGCATGAAGACAAGGTGGATTGCCTGCCTCCCTCCCTGCTG